CGGCGCCCGCCGAGGCCGCGCCCCCTGCCGCCGCCACCATCGCCGCCGCCGCCGTCGCCCCCACCTCGACGGGCGCCGTGGCCCCTGTCGCGTCCGCCTTGGAGAAGAAGACAAAGAGCAAGGGGCCCTACATCTGCGCCCTGTGTGCCAAGGAGTTCAAGAACGGCTATAACCTCCGGAGGCACGAAGCCATCCACACGGGAGCCAAGGCCGGCCGGGTGCCCTCGGGTGCCATGAAGATGCCAACCATGGTGCCCCTGAGCCTCCTGAGCGTGCCCCAGCTGAGCGCGGCCGGCGGGGGCGGGGGCGAGGCGGCTGCGGGCGGCGGCGGGGCTGCGGTGGCTCCCGGAGGCGTAGTGACCACGACCGCCTCAGGGAAACGCATCCGGAAGAACCACGCCTGCGAGATGTGCGGCAAGGCCTTCCGCGACGTCTACCACCTGAACCGGCACAAGCTGTCGCACTCGGACGAGAAGCCCTACCAGTGCCCGGTGTGCCAGCAGCGCTTCAAGCGCAAGGACCGCATGAGCTACCACGTGCGCTCACATGACGGCGCTGTGCACAAGCCCTACAACTGCTCCCACTGTGGCAAGAGCTTCTCCCGGTGTGCAGGGGCCTGGGCCGCCCGCTGGGCCGGTGGGGAGGGGGGCGGCCGCGAGGTGCCCTGGTCTTGGCTGGCGGGAGGAGAACGGCGGCCTCGGGTTAGCTGGGAGCAGGGGGTGGGCCTCTGCGAAGAGGTGGGCCTCGGGCGGGAGGCGGAGGAAGCCCGCTCGAGGGGAGGGATTTCCTGCCGGAGTAGGATCTGAAGCTTCGGGAGAAAACTTGGGGAGCTTTGTAGGAAGCTCTGCTGTAGAAGCTCAGCAGATTTGGGGCGCACACCCCCAGGCCTAACTCCAAGCCCAACATGTCCCCAGGCCGGACCACCTCAACAGTCACGTCAGACAAGTGCATTCAACAGAGCGGCCCTTCAAATGTGAGGTAGGAAGCCGCCGCCTCCTGTCCTGGTTTTCATGATTTTGATCCTCATTGTAGCTGCCTGAGTTCAGCCTCTCAGACCCCCTTTTTCTCTCTCTCCTTTTTGCCTTTTCACTCCATTTTCTCATTTCTTCTTCAAGGCCTCATCACCTCACTCCCATTTCCTGCAGATCAAAGACCCCCAAGACTCTGATCCCTTTAACCTCTTGCTCCCTTCTCCCCGCTCCTGGAAGCTTTAACTCTCCTGTGACGCCCCCCACGCCCTCCCCCTCCCCAGAAATGTGAGGCAGCTTTTGCTACGAAGGACCGGCTGCGGGCGCACACAGTCCGACATGAGGAGAAGGTGCCCTGTCACGTGTGTGGCAAGATGCTGAGCTCGGCTTATATCTCGGATCACATGAAGGTGCACAGCCAGGGCCCTCACCACGTCTGTGAGCTCTGCAACAAAGGTACATGCTGAGGGGTGCCAGGAGGGCTGGGGGTGGGGGCGCAGCTGGTGGCCCTTCTGCGGGCCTGGGTCAGGGTGCTGTGGCCCAGAGCTCGGGGCATCTAGATCCCGGGAGGAAGCAGATGCAGTAGCAGTGGGGATGACTGGACAATCACTAAATCATAAGAAGCCGAGGCTGAGAGAGATGAGCTACCCAAGTCAGCCTCCTAGGTGTTTGGGGGAGAATGGAAGTGGGACGTGGCTGCTTTGGGAAAGGGATGGTCACGAGCACCCTCCCAGTGCCCGGAAGGCAGGGTTTCAACAGCGCAGCCACAAGTTCTCGCCTCCAGCTCCCCAGCCAAATAGTTCGACAAGAAACACACACTGCCCCAGTATCAGAGAAAGCTCACTGAATAACTGGGCCGAGACTGGGGCACTGGAGGGGTGGGACACAGCCGTCTCTGCTGAGAGTCTGCTCCTCAGGTAGTAGGAATCAGTGTCTCGCCATCTCAGGACCCATCTGGCTGCGGAAGAGTGCCCGATAGATACCCAGGCCAGGCCGACAGATGCCCCACCCGGTGGGAGCTGCCCCAACAGAGAAGCTGGCCCCAGGCTGCAGGATATGGTGGGAGGAGGACAGGTCATCTGAGGAGGGATCCCCGGCCTAGGAGAACAGCCCCGTCTCTGGGGTCTCCGCCTGGCTGACCCCGCTCCCCAATCCCGACCCCCTCAGGCTTCACCACGACAGCATACCTGCGCATCCACGCGGTGAAGGACCACGGGCTCCAGGCCCCGCGGGCTGACCGCATCCTGTGCAAGCTGTGCAGCGTGCACTGCAAGACCCCTGCCCAGCTGGCCGGCCACATGCAGACCCACCTGGGGGGGGCCGCCCCCCCTGTCCCGGGAGACGCCCCCCAGCCACAGCCCACCTGCTGAGGGGGACCCGCACCCATCAGGCAAGGCGCGGGGCATGGCTGGGGGGCGGGATGGGGTGTGGGGGACACGGGGCTCAGAGGGCCCCTAGGGGATCTCAGGAAGGCTAGGGATGCCCATGTTCTGCTCAGGTTAGGGAGATCTGGGGGCCAAGGAGGGCCCTTCAGGAGAGCCGTCTGGATAAGGAGGCAGGCCAGAGCTTGACCCGGTAGGAAGTGAGCACCGGCTGTGTCCCAGGGGCATCTGGGCTAAGGGTGCGGCCCCCAACATTCGGCCCGGTGACGGTGGTGGTCTCGCTGCAGGTACTGGTGAGGTGTGTCCGATGGCGGCGGCGGCGGCAGCAGCGGCAGCAGTGGCAGCGGCAGCCCCTCCCACAGCTGTGGGCTCACTCTCCGGGGCCGAGGGGGTGCCAGTGAGCTCTCAGCCACTTCCCTCCCAGCCCTGGTGAGCTCCAGGTTGGTGGGGGGAGAGGGGAAAGTGGCAGAAGGCCCCTGGTACAGGCTCCTCTCCCCCTCTCTCTTCCCATCAGCTCATTAGTCCCCTCCAACCCAGGAGCCTCCAGAGAGAGAAACGGTTCTTAGGGGAATTCGCTAGGTTTTAACGATTTGTTTCTCCTGCTCTTCTCCTCCCAATCAGCTGACCCTGCACACACCTGCCCCTCAGCTGTGTTGAAGGCCCACGGATCGTGGGCAGGGGTGTCAGGACAGGAGCAGCCCCTGCCCTATCCCTCCTCCCTCGGCCCCCTGCCCCCAGGGGTTCGTGAGCCTCTCCGTGGTCCTTGCTCCGCTCCTTCCCGTCCTCCCCCCCCTGTCTGCTGCCCCTCCCTGGGAAGTTGGTGCTTTTTTTTTTCCAGGGGGAGGGAGGAGAAGGAGGAGGGGAATCAAAGATTCTGTCCTGAAGGGAGAACGGTGAGAAGGGACAGAAGTGGGGAAGGCAGAGGTTAGATCTCCAGCAGATGGGGTGGTTGGGGTTGGGCCCTCAACATCATCCTGCTTAAGAATCTGTCGGGGGGGAGTCAAGGGGATGAAAAGGAGGGGCCACTAGGGCCAGACGCAGAATGAGAGCTGGCATCTTAGGGCCACGTACTCGAGTGGGCCGGGATAGAGGTGCTTCCTGGGGCGGGGGAAACGCAGCCGCAACGTCGCCCTTCCCTCTTGCACCCCGGTTCCAGCCCTGGTCTTTCACCCTTTTCCCCATGACAAGCTGTGGCCCTGGCCATGCCATCGTGTTCCTGTGTCCCCTGCATGTTCCTCACCCTCCACCCCCTTCTTTTGCGCGGATCCCATTACAATAAATTTTAAATAAAAACCTGGCTCTGGCTCTGGGTTCAATGCGTTGCCCTCTTCAGGGCCACCTTTCCTCTCCCGAGGGGTTCGTGGGTTCTGCCTGCTGGCCCGGCCCTGGCGGCCCGGCCCTGCCCTCGGGCTCTGGGGCATTAGCGCCTCCCTCCAGGGCAGCCCCACTGGCTGTCGCAGACAGCGGAGAGCGGGATCCGCCCTGCAGGGCCGCCCTGACGGCCGCGGGGATGCCCCGCTCCTCCCCGGCCTACGGCTGCCGGCTGCTCAGACCCCAGCCCAGCACCTGCACGCCCGGGAAGCCAAGGGAGGCGGGCCCCAGCCAAGCGCAGTGGGATTAACGTGCCCCCCACCCCCAGCCTGGGTTTGGGCGCCCGGCATTTACGCTGCTCGTGGACCCAGCCCTCCTACTGCCCCTGCCGTGCTGTTCTTCAGGCGCCTTTCCTGAGCCTGCAATGCCCATTTCGCCCGAAGGCTCCCTATCCTGCAGGCTGCTTCTCCAGACCCCACCGTGCTCCGCCCTGCACCCTCCCCGTTTCGCCCCTCTCCCTTCTCCCCCTTGGCGCAGTCTTGCTTTGGCCCCGGTCTCGGCTCCTCGCAGACCCTGGTCTCGGTCCGGGCCCCTGGGTCCCTGTGACCGTTGGCGGGAGGGGCTGTGGACCCAGGCAGGGGGCGCCCCCTCCGAGGCGCGCGTGGGGCGGGGCGGGGAGGGCCGATAGTGGTCCCCGGGCTGTTGCCTGGGTAACGCGGAGCCTGGCCGGGAGGGGCTGAGGCGAGCGAGGGGCGGGGGCGGCGGCGGCGGCGGCGGCGGCGGCGGCGGCGGCGGCGGCAGAGCGCAGGGAGGGGACCGGAGGACCGAGCGAGCGCGGAGAGGAGGGGACCCGCCACCTCCCTCCTGCGCTGCCATCTCGCTCCCTCCCGGGCTGCGGCTGCTGCAACGGCGGCGGCGGCCGTAGCCGTCCCGAGGCCGGCGTCGAGGTGAGGCTGCGGGCCGGAGTGCAGGGGAATGCGGGAGCCGCGAGGGAGGGTGTCCTGGGCGCGCCGCCCCGGGAGGGAGGAGGCCCGGCCCGCCGTGGGCGAGGGAATCCCGGGAGAAGTCAGAGAAGGGGCCTCGGAGATGCCCAGGGCCCTCCTGGAGGCGCGCGGCGAGAAACCCACTCCACCTGAGCGCCCGGGGGAAGATGCAGAGGGGTGGCGTGTGTGTGCAGCCGGGCTCCCAGCCTGGTCCGCTTGTCAAGGCGTGTAGTGTTCGCACAGCTTGTAGATTTGGGGTGCTCCAGCTTCTGCTGCGATCTGAAGTCCTGATCCCGTTGGGTGCACCAGGGAGAGACCCCGGGAGGGCTCTATCTTCTCGGGCTCCCCAAGCGGAAGACTGAGTGGAGCACTCTCCCCGGGGACGTCCAACCCCAAGGCCCAGGAAACCCTAATTTCTCTTCCTTTCCCCAGAGACAGCACAGGCTGGCCCTGAGACAGGAGCCTAGTCCCGTGGGGCCTGCAGTCCAAGTCCCTGTTCCCTTCTCACACCAAGCCTGTCTCCTCTTCCAGGATTTGCTACTGTCTCTGCTGTTCCCTCCTGCCCACAGGGGCCCTCTCCCCTCTGCCCCCTCAAGATGGCAGCCAGCCCCTCCCAGGCCTCTGAGATGAAGGGGGTAGAAAAGAGTCCTGAGACCCGGGGAGAAGGGCCCAGCAGTTCTGAAGCTGGAACTGGCCCTTGTCCAGCCCCAGCAGGGGTCCCAGGGCAGCCAGAGGCCCTGCATCTGGGCCCAGGCGCTAATGCAGCCTCTGTGGACTTGAGCCCCACGGCTGAGCTAGTTCCAGAAACCACAGAGACCCACAGTGGGGGCCCAGAGACAGCCCAGACTACAGAGGCCAGCTTAGGCCTGGGAGGGGCATCAGAGGCCAACTGCAGCCCTGAAGAAGCATGCCTGGAGCCAGCATCCAAAGCATCAGTGAACAAAGAGGCCCCTGCAGACCAGGGGTCGGAGCAGGAGCCTGCAGCCCCACCTGAGCCAGCCCCAGAGCCTGCTCCCAAGCCTGACCCCCAGGCAGACCCCCAGGCAGCTTCCCAGCCCACCCCTAACCTAGCCCTTCAGCCAGAGCTCCCTACCCAAGAGGACCCCACTCCTGAGGTCCTTACCGAGGATGTGGGGGAAAAGCAAGAGAATGGGGCAGTGGTCCCTCTGCAGGCTGGTGATGGGGAAGAGGGCCCAGCCCCCCACCCTCACTCGCCCCCCTCAACAAAAGCCTCCTCAGCCAATGGGGCTCCTCCCCGGGTGCTGCAGCAGCTGGTCGAGGAGGACCGAATAGGAAGGGTTCACAGTGGGCATCCAGGATCTCCTCGAGGTAGCCTGAGCCGCCACCCCAGTTCCCAGTTGGCAGGGCCTGGGGTGGAGGGGGGTGAAGGCACCCAGAAACCTCGGGACTACATCATCCTTGCTATCCTGTCCTGCTTCTGCCCCATGTGGCCTGTCAACATCGTGGCCTTCGCTTATGCTGTCATGGTGAGCCTGGGGCCCGGCCTCGTGTGCTATGGCTCTCTGTTTCCCGCCAGTGCTGGGTCAGAGCCCCAGGAGTGACTGGGCCTCCCCTTCCCCTGCATGGACCCACTTCCCAAATTCAGGGCCTCCATTTGCCTCTCCCCAGGACCTAACCCTCTGAGCCACTGCTGTCAGACCCCTTCAGGTGGGAGGGATACGGAGATGGTCGCGCAGCCTCACTGACTGTGCCCTCTTCACTCTGCCTTCCCAACCCGCCTGCCTCCCTTAACTCCATGGGGCCTCTCTCCTCTGGACGACTTTCACCTGATCCCTGCTGGGCTGGCTTCTCCTTCACCCCCCACCCTAACCCCAGTCCCGGAACAGCCTGCAGCAAGGGGACGTGGATGGGGCCCAGCGCCTGGGCCGTGTGGCCAAGCTCTTAAGCATCGTGGCACTGGTGGGGGGGGTCCTCATCATCATCGCCTCCTGCGTCATCAACTTAGGCGGTGAGTGGGGTCGGGGACAAGCAGGGGAGGAGCGGAAGGGTTGCAAGGGCAGCTTTACTAACCCCTGCCCTGCTTTCTCCTGTCTGTCCTCCCTACTTCTTTGTCTCTCTTGTCTTCCCCTTCCCTCTCCTCTCCCACAGTGTATAAGTGAGGGGCTCTGCCCTGCATCCCAAGACTTTTCTTCCTGTTGGGAGCAGCCGTGGGGCCATCCCTCCCATGGGGAGCCTGATCGATGGCCCTGGCCCCCATCCCTAGGGACCAAGGGAGCCTGAGTGGACTTGTTTACAGCTTCTTTCCTGCTCCTGCACCCTGCCAGGCTCCTCTGTCAGCCGTAGGCCTCCCTTCTCCCTGCGATTTCCAGCTCCCCGCACTTCTGCCTGCTGATACATCCCCTCCAGCCTCTTGGCCTTCCTAACCCCGCACTTCTGGAAACCTCTGCACATCTCCCAGACTCCGTGCTCTCAGCCCCCCACATCTTTTCCAGCCTCCCTGCACTTCCAGTCTCCTGGTTTCTCTGAACTTTAAACCTGGCCCCCTGCTCCAACTTCCACTGTCTTCGCATCTAACCCATCCCTCTCCTCCTTCCTTTGATCAGCTGTACCTCCTTCCTCTTTCTGCCTCTTCCTCATTCCTTAGTATTCTCTTCACCTTCCTGCCACCATTTGTTCTGCAAGATCTCCAGCCCTTAGATCAGGCTGGGGAGGTGGAGCAGCGTCCGGAGAGGGCTGCCTAGCCCCGGGCTCCGACTGTTCTCGCTGGGGGCCCGGCCCACCACCCTGCGCCTTTTGGGTCGCGGAGCAGGCAAGCGAGCCTCTCCTGGAGACTCGTGCTTGCGAGGGAGTCCTGGTTCTGAGAGCCCGGGGGCTGGGGGGCGCGGCGCTGCAGGTTCCGTGGAAGGTTCGGAAGATCAGACCCGTCCACGTGAGCTTTTAACTTTAGAGTTTCTCGCTCGAAGGTATCGGGAAGGGGTGGGGCTCGAGCCTTTCACAAGCTTTGTAACGAAAGGGAAAAAAAAGGGACCAAAGCTCCCAGCTGCAGGGAGTGACAGAGGAGTGGGGAGGCTATATAATTATTTTCTAAGAGGACCAGGGTGGTTTGTTGCACGCGACAGCCTGCTGAAGAGGCAGAGGCAGCTGCGACGCGGTTCGGAGTTGCAGTCGTTTTCTAAAAAAAAAAAAGTTGGGGAGAAAAAGTAAAATTCCTTTAAAACTAGACACATAAAGCCGACTTTCCCCTTTTGTATGCTGGATGCTGCATGAGTCTGAAACACCAATAAACGGAGATTGCATGAGACTCGCCTCCAGTCTGGGTCCCTGAGTTCGTCTGCGTCCTGGCAGAACTGAGTGGGTGGTATACGCATGCGCCTTCGCAGTAGCCATCTTTACTGTGGGCCGAAGCCTGATCTGCCCGAGAGCCTACCTACGCATGTGCAAGCCGTCCCTCGCTTTCCTTTTCCGAGCAGTTTTGACTGAGGAGCGGAGCGCCCACACACACACCCCCGCGCCATTTCTTTGCGCCTGCGTACTGTCACCCTGCGCAGCGGGGGAGGCGAGTCTTGGCCCCAGGTTCCTACGGCGGCTGAGTGGACGCGGCCCAGAACTGCGGGGTCTAGGCAGAGGGCGCTGGCTCCTGGTGTGGACAGGGGCAGAGTGAAGGCGGGAAGACTGGGCTGCCCCTTCCCGCTCGGAAAGTCGGGGTCCGTGGGGCGGGGCCCTTCCCTGCAGGGGATCGAGTGCCCCCCCGGGGGCGGGCGCGTTAGCCACGGAGACAGCTGCTGGAACCTGACTGGCTGCAGAGGATTTCCTAACTCCCGCGGGCCGGGGCGGGCCGGGGCGGGCGGGGTCCCCGGGCTGGTGCTCCAGGGCCTCCTGTATTGCTGGGCCCCTTCCCTAGAGGCCCATGTCTCTCGCACGGGGTCTTGGAGACATTGCGGCCTCCACAACGGCGCCTCTGTCTGAAGAAGGGGAAGTGACTTCTGGCCTCCAGGCTCTGGCGGTGGAGGATACCGGAGGCCCCTCTGTCTCGGCCAATAAGGCCGAGGAAGAGGGACGGGGCCAGGAGAAGGCCGAGCGTGAGGGGTCCGGGGCCGAGGAAGCAAAAGGAGAAGCCCCCAGCGCTGGAAGAGCGGAACAAGCCGAGGGAGACTTCGAGGACTGGTGCGTACCCTGCAGCGATGAGGAGGTGGAGCTGCCTGCGCAGGGGCACGCCTGGATGCCTCCGCCCTCTGAAATCCAGCGGCTCTATGAACTGCTAGCAGCTCATGGTACCCTGGAGCTTCAAGCGGAGATCCTGCCCCGCCGGCCGCCTACGCCCGAAGCCCAGAGTGAAGAGGAAAGATCTGACGAGGAGCCGGAGGCCAAAGAGGAAGAGGAGGAAAAGTGAGGACAAAACCCTGCTCGCGGGGCTCTTCCGATTATGGCCGAAGGAAATAGGGAGGGTAAAAAGGTGGGACCCAGGAGAGATAGAAAGTGGAAGGAGGGCTGGGCTTGCTGGCACGCTCCTGTCATCCCAGCACTTGGAAGGCTGAGGCCGGTGGATCACTGCTTACACAGTGTGACCCCGTGTCAAAAAATAAATAGAAACAAAAAACAAAGTGGAAGGAGGGTGGAGGGCAAGAGAGGAAGAGCCGCAGACGGGGGAGAAGCATGTGGGGATGTTTGGTAGGGTCAGCCTCATCCTCACTGTTTGTGCTCCTGTGCCAGACCACATGTACCCACGGAATTTGACTTCGATGATGAACCAGTGACACCAAAGGACTCCCTAATCGACCGAAGACGCACCCCAGGTACAGACAAGAGGGTTGAGTTGGAGATGAAGGGCCTCTCTTCCCCGTCACCAAAAAAGGGGCTTTTTTTTTTGGCAGTACCAGGGATCCAATTCAAGACCTTGTGCTTGTGAAGCAGGTACGGTGCCACCAAGCTAAATCCCCGGTCCGCAAAAAAGTGGCTTTCTTAAAGAGGCCTTGCTGGGGATGTCAGTTGCTATACAAGTTCTAGAAAATAGACATTCACACTATGGCTCCACAGTTCTGGCTTAGGTCAGTGCCCTATCTTCCTTCAAGAAACTGTCACAGGGCCGAGGATTTAGCTCAGTGGCACCAGGCCTGCCTTGAAAGCACAAGGTACTGAGTTCGATCCCGGTACCAAAAAAGAAAGAAAGAAAGAAAACAAACCATCACAGATAGTTCTATCATGTTTCCTATTCTTTTCATGTTCTCCCCAGAGGTCTAAGTCCTCCCGGTCATTGTTTTCTAGATCTACATCCCTGTACTACTACTGTGTATATCACCTAATCTGATCCAGTTTCCCATCCCAGTGCCTTCCTAGAATTTACCCTTGGAGTTATTCTGGAGTTCTTCTCTTACCCAAACATTCAAGCCAAGTCCTGTGAGCTCTGCTGCACATTTCCAAGTCCGTGTGCTCCTGTCCGACTTCAATCCAAGGCACTATCTCACTGGTCTGGATAGTTTCAGTAGCTCCTCACTCGTCTCCCCGCTTCCAATCTCAGCAATCAGCGGTTCATTAAAACAAATGTCAAGAGGCCGAGGATTTAGCTCAGTGGTTCCACTGCCTGCCTTGCAAGCACAAGGACCTGAGTTCAATCCCCGGGACCAAAAACAAAACAAATGTCAAGTCTCTACTTAAATCCCACAGAGGATTCCATTCCTAGGGGAAGAGCTGTAGAGGGAGGATCTAAATTGCCTTTAACCCCTCCTTGCTTCTTTAAAGAGACCTCCTTGGGTGGGCGATTTAGCTCAGTGGTTTCACTGCCTGCTGTGCAAGCGCAAGGACCCGAGTTCGATCCCTGGTATAAAAAAAAAGAGAGACCTCCTTGTTTCTTCCCAGGGCCTTTGTGCTTCTTGGTTGACTCTTCCCTGGTCTTCACATTACTCTTTCACACTCTAGCCCTTCATTGCCCAAGATGTCTGTGGGCCCAACTTAAGCCTTAAGATCGTTCATGCCAAGGCCTGAAGTCTGGGTGTTAAACGAGCTCCTCAAGTGATGAGTAAGGTCCACAGCTGCCTCAGTGGCTTCCGTATTTTCTGCCTTCCTCTAGGAAGCTCAGCCCGGAGCCAGAAAAGGGAGGCCCGCCTGGACAAGGTCCTCTCAGACATGAAGCGACACAAGAAGCTGGAGGAGCAGATCCTTCGAACTGGGAGAGACCTCTTCAGTCTAGACTCAGAGGACCCCAGCCCTGCCAGCCCCCCACTCCGGTCCTCGGGGAGTAACCTGTTCCCCCGGCAGCGGAAATACTGAAATACTCACTACTGCTGCTGCTGCCTCTGAGGTGCACAGACTGGACTGCCCTGCTGGGGCCTCGTTCTCCCTCCCCAAGCCAGGACCCTGGGAAACTTGGGAAGGAGATGAAACCCCAAGCTCCCAACACAGCCCCTTTCAGGAAAGAGTGTGTTTTCTGTTGAACGTCACATTTTGAGACCTGGGCTGGATTTTCTAAAATAAAAGGTGCAGGGTTTTCTTCTCTTAAGAGGAGGTGCAGCTGGAGACTAAACAATCAGCTGCACTTGAGCAGAGGCAGAATTTTATTGACCCAAATTGGAAAACTAGTCAGATGAGACAGGCAAGTCCACCATCTGTTTCCTGTTTCGTCCCTTGGCCAATCCCAGTATCATCCGGGGGCGTTGCCTGCTGGCTCTAAAACACAAATTCCTGAGCTTGGAATGAGTGATCTTGCCTCAGCTGCAAACTGCCTCCGAGGAGAAAATGAGCGGCAGCTGCCTGGGTCTTTAACTACTTAACCCCGCCCGGCGGCCGCCCCGCCCCGCCCCGCCCCGCGGTGCCGGGAAGAGAGCCCTGGGCGGCCCGGTGAGATTTCTGGCCTGCGCAGCGCTGCTGGTAGCCCGCCTTTTAGATGTGAGTACCTTACACTGCTCCCACACACACACTGGTGGTGGTCTCTGTGCCCTTCAAAATTCTTTTTACCCCTCTTCTGCTTTCTAGGGGTCTTGCTGGGTTTTTTTGGTACCGGGGATCGAACTCTGGACCTTGCGCTTTCGAGGCAGGCGCCGGAACCATTGAGCTAAATCCTCGACTTTTTTTTTTTTTTTTTTTTTGACACAAGGTCTTGCTATGTAGTTCACCGTGGCCTGGAACTCACTATGTAGTTCAGGCTGGCCTTGAACAAGTAGCGAGATCCTTCTGTCTCAGCCTCCTCCCAAGTGCTTGGATTACAGCCGTTCCTAACCATGTGTAGCTTAGGGCCTTAGTTCTGCTGGGGCCGCTAAGACTTCTCTAAATCAGCGAGGGAGAAAGGAGGGTGGAGACTTCCTGGTTGGAGTTTTCTGGGGTTTGAAGAGAAGGTAGATCAGCTGGAGGACACCCCAGTCCCCAGTCTCAGGCTTCTGACCTCACGGTCTCACAAAAGTAAGATGGTGCAGGGCTACCTCGTCCGAGCGTTGTAACTGCTCGGAGCCTGAGGCAGGAAGATCGCTTGAGCCCTGGAGTCAAAGGCCTGTCTGGGTACCATAGAAAGATCCTTATTTCTTAAAAAAAAGAAAGACAGGTCTGAGGGTGTAGCTCAGAGGTAGCGTGCCTGCTGGTACTCCAGAAGCCCTGGACTTCATCACCAGCTCCGCAAAAATTTTAAAAATCTGGGCCTGGTGGTGCAACCTATAATCCCAACACTGGGAGACTGAGGCAGGAGAATGGCAAGTTTGAGCTCAGCCTGGGCAATTAAGGGAGACCCTGTCTCAAAAATTTAAAAAGTACTGGAATGTAGTTTAGTGTGAAAGTCCTCGGTTCAGTTCCCAGTAGTGGAAAAACTTTAAATGATGGGTGACCTTACAAGGTCCTTTCAGGGCCAGGGATTTAGCTCAGTGGTTTCGTCGCCTGCTGTGCAAGCGCAAGGACCAGAGTTCAATCCCTGGTGCCGGGAAAAAAAAAAAAACGTCCTTTCAGACCCATCTCGGAATTAGGTTGGTCCTTGACTATCTGCTCACAGCTCCGAGAGACCTAGACTGGCCTCTTCCCTGGTCCCCATGGAGGGCCGCTGCTGCCGAGGCTCAGGCTTTCCCACTGCTCTCTCCTGGGCTCTGCCAGCTGCTGGCCCTGCTGGCCACTTGAGACGTTAGCAGTGAGATTGTGAGGTGGCCCGGTGGCCAGAAGGTGCAGTCTGGTGAGCATGGCTCTTCTCCTTGAGGAGGAAAGTGGAAGACGGGAGGCTCAGGAGGGACCCTGGGGTCTCCGCTATCGCGCGCTGGGCGAGGGCATTTGAGGCAGTTGTCCCGTGTCCACTGCTCCCCACCTGGGTGGACCCCTGAGATCTGGGGAGAGGCTGGCTGTCACACGGGTGCCAAGTGACTCTCCGGGGGTCTTGTGCTTGTTTCTGCCTGCCATGGGGACACTGGTGGTGACCATGAATGGACCCCCTGAGGGGTCCTGAGGACTGTAACCAAGTGTCCCGCTTTCCCGGTGCAGTGGTGCCCTCCCAGGCTTCCTGGGGTAGAGAGTGGGCACTGGCACCGACTGCTCGCCTGTGAACTGCCCTCTGAAGCTTCCTGGGCGCACCCAGCCCCACCTGATCCTTAACTCCTTGTGCTAGGGTAGGAATCAAGTTGATGCCTTCCCCTGAGAAGCCACTCTACCTCTGGCTATGAAGCCAGGGTAGACTTCTGTGAACCTTTGAGAACTGTGTAATCTTGAGCACGTTCCTTAACTTACAGGTTTTAGAAAGATAAAATGAGTTCGCTAACAGTGCCTAACACAATGCCTGACTAAGTTCAAGTGCAAGTTTCAGAGTCTTCTGGAAACCTTGACTCAGAATTTGGCCAGAGAAGGGTGAAGCGGCGCAGCCAATGCCAGGCCTGCTTGCGCCACTTGCAGTCCCAGCTGTTTGGGAGACTGAGACGCCACCTAGGTTTCAAGGCCAGCCTGGACAATGTAGCCCATAGCCCATAGCCTTCGCTGAGGAGAAAAAAATCCCTGCCACCTGCTCTGATCGGGCGGGTTTAGGGAGCTTTATCCAGCTCAGGCTCAGAGGCCTGCCCATGTTCAGTGTGCACTGGCAGCCATAGGGAAGTGGGAGGGCAGAGTCTGAGCCGAAGAGCTGCTTTGCTCCCCTGCTCCCTTAGTCACCAAGCTGTTCATACTGCTGAGCGGCCCCAAGGGCTGGCACTCAGGAAAGACTTTCTTAGGAATAAAAATTCCTGAAACTTTGTTGCAAAGAAAAGGGATCCAGGGGCTGGGCATTTAGCGCAGTGGTTTCGCCGCCTGCTGTGCAGGCCCAAGGACCCGAATTTGATCCCCTATACCAAAAAAAAAGGAGGGATCCCCCTTAAAGCAGGAACCAGTTTTGATAAACCAGGAAGGTGCTGAGTGCAAATAAGCCCTCTGCTGTTCCTCATTCTTATGACTCATGACTCATTCTCTAAACAGACCACAGTGATGGAACCTTTTAGAGCTTTCAATGGTAATAAACAGCAAGAAGGGGCACATGTAGAATGTTTAACTGAAAATCAGTAAGGCTGGGCATGGTGCATGCCTGTGAACCCAGCAGAATCACCACGAGTTCGAGGCCAGGGAGGCCAGCATAGGCCACATAGTTTAAAACCAGCCTGAACTACATAGTGAGATCGAGCTTATCTAAAAAAAAACAAATCAGTACAGAGAAAACTCCACTGAAGAATCTAGATTCTGTGAGATGGGGGTTTTGTTTTTGTTTTTTTTTTTTGTCCCGGGGATCGAACTTGGGTCCTTATGCTTTCAAGGCAAGGGGCGGAACCACTGAGCTAAATCCCCGGCCTGGATTTTTTTTTTCTTTGTGGTGCTAGGGATTCAACTCAGCTACGTTCTCAGCCAAGAGCCTTTGTTTATATGAAACTTCATGGACCTTTTCTTTTTCTTTTTTTTTTTTGGTACCAGGGATCGAACTCCAGTCTTTGTGCTTTCGAGGCAGGCAGTGGAACCACTGAGCTAAATCCCTGGCCCTAAGATGTTCATGTTCTTTGGGGGGCGGGTAAGCACCGAGCTAAATCCCCGGCCCTCACCTTTTCTTAAACCTACAGTTTAAGAGATCTAGTGGCGATCTAATGCAGGGCTGAGTGAACAACTTCAGTCTCAGGCCTGCCTGGACCAAAGAGCTGGGTTGGGGAGAAAGCTGTTTGGGGCTGGGCCAGGGTAGAGGGCTAAAAAAGAATGAATGAGGGCCGGAGATTTAGCTCAGTGGTTTCCCTGCCTGCTGCGCAAGCGCAAGGACCAGAGTTTGATCCTCTGTTCCAAAAAAAAAAGAATGAATGGGATCCCCCGCCTGGTGTGATGGGTGAGAGGCTGAGGCAGGGTGATCACACGCCAGGCCTCAGCCTAGGCAATTTGGGGACCTATCCAGAGTCTTGCCTCAAGAGGTTGAGGCTGGGTGTGGTGGCGCACACCTGTGATCCTGGCTTTCAGGAGGCTGAGGCAGGAGGGCCAGACTACATAGTGAGACCCTGACTCAAAAAACAAAAAAAAAAGGTGGTGGATGTAGCTCAGTGGGAAAGTCCTGGGTGAGGCCTGGGGTCCTGCTGCTCCTGGCTGACCGTGGGGAGTGTGGTCACTCCAGTGTGTCTGTTTCAGAGTCACTCTGTCAGCCGCTCACAGGAAAACTGAAGATTTCACAACTGGTTAATTTACTGAAGTTTGGCTGAAATCATGTTTCACTTTTGAGTTAGGAAACTTGGGCCAGGGGCCCCTCTTTTGCTTCTGTAGTGCTGGGGATGGAAGCCGGGACTCTTGAGGCAAGAGCTACCACCGGGCTACCACATCCCGGAGCCTTTGGATGAGGGTGAACCGTCCCCCGTCCATCTGTCCCTGCGTCCACTACGTCTCCTGCAGGATGACTATGTGATGGCTGAAGGTTGGCTGTGGTTCTGGTTTTGTTTTGTTTTTTTGAGACAGGGTCTCATAAGTGGTTCTTGCAGAAATCTGACATTTGAGGCGCTTGCAACCAGGCAGGGCTGGGCATGTGCCTGGGAGCCCACTGGGGTGGATCTCAGGCAGGGACTGAAGGGAGGTGGGTGAGTGAGTGGGTTGGGGAGCTGGGACCAGACCTGAGAGTGGGGCACCCCTTTACCCTCGCCTTCTCAGGCCCCGAAACGAGATGCTGGAACTGTGCACGTCCTGAGACTTCTGTGGGGCAGGACCAGCTCTGAGTGACCTGGCAGGCCTTGGGAGCCAGCGTGGGGTGGGGAGGGTCGTTTGGGAGCCAAGCCGGGGTCCTGGCACCCAGGCCAGGCAGGAGCAGGGCTCGACCCATGTGGAGGACGACTCGCTGAGTCCCTGAGCAGGCCGGCTGGCGCAGCAGATGGTGGAGAGGCCTAAGCCGCGGGAGCAGGGCTGGCCAGGAAGGAGCCAATGGAGCCCTTCCTGAGCCTCCTTACAGCCCCGCCGTGGCCTCTAGAGTTCCTGTCCCTGTGGGGCCTTGGAGCTCGGCCGGCACCTCTGCCCACAGCCCCATCTGGCTTCCTGGCCGGGCGTCCGTCTGCAGAGAACACCGCAGAGCAGCTGCTGGGAAATGCTCCACCTGGCCCGGGAGCCCTGCTTTACTGTTCCTCTGGCCTCACGCTGGCGTCATAGAGACTTGTCACCTTCCTGACAGTGACCAGAGAAGCAGGAGGTTGAGTGGGGGCTGTGGTGCTGCCCCTGGGGAGAGCCGGGCCTCGGACCCCACCCATGTCCTGAGCACAGTACAACCACTCACAAACAGCCTGGGCCTCTTCTGAACACTTTGCTTTTAAAATTATTTTACGCAAGCGCAAGGACCCGAGTTCGATCCCCAGTACCAAAAAAAAAATTTTTATTTTAATTTAATTTTATTTTGTGGTACTAGGTATTGAACCCAGGGCCTTCACAGTGAGCTATGTCCCCAGCCCTTTTTTTTTTTTTTTGCTTTGGGACAGGGTCTGGCTAAGCCACTGAGTTCCCATGCTGGGCTTGTACATGGGATCATACTGCCTCAGCCTCCTAGAGTGAGCGCCACCTGCCAGGCTGATCCATCCCATTTTGTAGCCAAAGAAACAGGGAGGTCTGGGGACTTGTCCAGGGTCACCACCCTCTAATAAGGGTTGGGGTTCTGTCCAGGCAGTTCCAGCCTGTGGAGTCCTGGATGTAGCCTTTCTGGAACAGGGAGAGGGAGAGAGAAGCCGGGGTAACAGGGGTAAGAGGGGAAGAGACCAGGGCCAGGAAGTCAGAGCGAGAACTCTAAAGAGAAAAGCCGCCTTCCTACACATGCGGGAAATAATTTTAGGCAGAAATGAGTCACAGAAAAGTATGAAGGTCACACACCATACGAAATTAAGAGATAAAAGAATATGGGACAGAATAACATCCCTCTGATGCAAAAAGTATACCAGGAAGACATCAGAGCTGCAGCCACTTTCAAAAGGAAACAAAATAGGAAGGAAGCATACAGGGCATGGAGGGTGAAGCAGGGTTGCAGGCCTGGGTGGGCTGACCACGTCCCTCCCATCGCATCTCAACCGCTGAGCACTCTGCCACCCAACAAGGCATCTGCCAGGCCCACTTGGCTGTGTAGAAGTTTGAGCATTTTCTTCAGTGCTGGGGATAGAACCAGGGCCTCACACCTGTGCTAAGCACCTTCTCTGCCACTGAGCTACACCCCCAGCACCCCAAATTAATGCTAAAAGTTTATATTATCACTGGTGATGCACACCTGTCATCTGGACTAGCTGGGGAGGCTAAGGCAAAAGGTCACAATATCAAGCTCCTCCGGAGCTACATGGCAAGACCCTGTCTGAAAAATATAAGCACATAAGTAGTAAAACAGTAATAATAAATTTTCTCAGAAGCACTGGCCACATTTCAAGTGTTTAGTAGCCACATGTGGATAATCCAGAAATAGAGCACATTTAAAATATTCCCAGGGCTGGGAGTGTAGCTCAGGGGTGCAATGCCTACCTGGCAAGCTCCAGGCTCCGAGTGCAGTGCGATTCTTGGTACCAAAAAAATAAAATATTCCCATCATCGTGGGAAATTCTGTTGGGACAAGGCTGTTAGATTTAAACAGGAAGATGCAGGCTGTGGTCCAGGTGCTCGGTAATAGGGCAGGAGGGGATTGTGGAGGGCAGAAAAGCTTGTGTCTCATCTTACTGTGGGAGAAATGTAACTCCCAGCCTGCTGGACGTCAGATGTGCTGAGTTCATGGTCCCACAACACTGAGGAATGAAGCTGGGAACCAAAGGATGAAGTTAGGAGAGTTTTACTGGAAATAAGGAGAGAACAATTGCTCCTGGATGTCCAGGAGGGGTCCCTAAGGGGTGGGGCCAAGGCCCTGTGTAGGGGTCATTTTTACCAGAAAGTCAGTGTGGCTACAACACAGGTCACACTACAGCCTATAGGGTTACAAGTACAGCACTTAGCTAATATTGGTCCAGTAGGGAAGCAGGTCACGTAGCAAGGGTACTTGGAGAGAACAGAGGCATTTTGGGAAGGCCTGTGTCCCACATCCCACCTTCTGGTCACTGGCAACTGATGCCTATCTGGGCTCCCTGGGCCTGGCGCAGGCACTGTTCATGCCTTGGAGGCTCCCAGGCAGGGCTGCCGCCTCATCCCCTGGAGGCCTGGTCTTCCTCAGGTGCCTCCAGCCGCGATTCTGTTCTTTATTTTGTGCTGACTCCCTTGAGGGCTCAGTCCCCTTTCGTACATTGATTTTTATCTGACTTAACTGCCTGTAATAATAAAAAGGGGCAGCTGCTATTTGGCTCTTGTCAATTTTGCCACATGAGAATATGGACCCAGTGTTGTGTTGTTGGTCTCGTAATTCTTCTAGAGTGGCAGGAATTGGGAGCTTGTGAAAACTCATCATTTCCTTCTGGAGTCAAGGGCCTTTGCGCTGAGCTACATCCCCATCCCTTTTTGTTTTTTATTTTGTGATATTCTCACTAAGTCGCTAAACTACCTAGACTGAGTTTGAACTTGTGATCGTCCTACCTCAGCCTCCCAGAGTGCAGGGATTACAGATGTGCACCACCACTCCTGATTGAAAATTCATAATTTCTAAAAATCAAAACAAAACCCCACAAAATAGCTGGGTGTGGGGGCACATGCCTGTAATCCCAACACTTGGAGGCTGAGGCAGGGGGATTGCCAAGAGTTCAAGGCCAGCCTGAACTACATAGGGAGACCCTGTCTCAAAAAAAGAAAAACAATGCCTTGAAGGCTCAGGGTGTAGTCCTAGTACTGTATGTGTGATCCCTGACTGGGTTGTACTGGGGATGGAACTTGGGACCTTGTGCTTGCGAGGCCCAGCACTGAAAGGTGAGAGAGCAAGAAGAGGAAAGTCTGCCCCTGATCTCTCAGGACCCGGCTCTGGGCTGCCCAGGAGCCTTGATTGCCTTTGTCTGACTCAAGGACCAGTTCAAAGTCCATGGGGTGCCGGTGCCTGTAAGGGGCTGAGCAGTAGATGGGTGTGTGACATTCCTCAACAGGGCGCACACACCATTAAACCACCCAGGATTCGGACTGAGTAGGGTATGGAAATGATTTACCCCCTTTCCTTCCCCTTCCCCTCACCCTGCCCAGAACTGGGAACCAAAGTATCTGAGGGCAATCAGTCCTCCGACTGCCTAGAAAGGTGAGGGCCAGAGGAAAAAAGACAACAGACTGGCGTAATTTCAAAGTGCATGGGGAGAGGTCAGTGCCTCAGAGCGGTCTAAGACAAGACCCTGGAGCTGGCCACCATTTATTGGGTGCACAGAAAATTTTTTTTTTTGGTCTCAGTGATGAATTAACTATTGTATACCTAAAAGGCAGGTGTGGTGTCACTGAGCTGAATCCTGGCCCATACACAGTAGTTGGAGGGAGCATTAAGTGACGTAGGGGGTGCCTGTAGGTGATCCTGTCTGTCGATGCGGATCTTGTGCTGATGAAGATCTTAGGTCTGGGCTGGGGGTTTAGCTCAGTAGTTCCACTGCCTGCCTCACAAGCACAAGGTGCTGAGTTCGATTCCTGGTACCAAAAAAAAAAATTCTTCAGTCACCAGGCTCTTATGTTGAGGCAGACTGTAAGGACAGCAGCTGAAGAGCTGGGCTGATTAAGAGCTCCTCCCTCCCCAGGTGAGGCCTTTCTCTTCGGAGTCACTACTGGGTTCTCAAGGAGCCAGGACGCCTTCGCCTTTGGCTGGTGTCACTTTGCTGGAGGCCACATGTTTCCCCTGCCATAGCCAGCTCTCTTGCAAGGCGACATCAGGCCTTAGACAGCTAGTCTTGCTTTAATTATGAAATGATTCTTCCCCAGAATCTATGTGGAAATGCTCCCGACACCAAAGGTGATCACAAACGAGAGAGAGAACTGGGTAGGAAAGTACTGTAGAGCGGTGCCTGGGTTCACAAACTTAATTTGTTTCACGATGTGGGGGAAGACGGCCTCGTCTGTGTTTGTGTGGAGAAAAGGGCCACAGGCTTGTTTGCCACCTGATGTGAGTTTGTGAACAAGAGGGAAATTTTGTCAGACGCTTCTTTGAGAACTGAATTGTTTGCAAATAGAAGCATTGGTGAGCCAAGGGGTTACTCTAGAATGACTCGCCGCTGGCCTGACCCGCCTGCTGCATGGGAGCAGCAGTTCCTAGGGGATCCCTGCCCTGGTCACCCGTGGATTGCTTAAAGCACGGGAGGTGGGAGAGAGCTTGGGCTCAGCCCGAGTCCAGCCAGCCCTCAGGATCTCCGAAGGTAAAGCCATCAGCCTTGAGAGGTGCCAGAGAGCCACTGCTTCCCGCTCCAGACCAACCTCCTCCAGAGCAGCAGGAGGGCGGGAAGGGGACTGAAGGGGAGGACAGCGACCAGGTCTCCCTCCCACACGGCTGTCACCGGGGTGGGACAGGGTGGGAGGGGCCTGCAGGGGGCCTAGCTCTCCATGGCCCTGGGTCATTTCGCACCCTCTGCTCTGCACTCAGGCTTGCCCGACAGTTAGGAGTCACCATGGCAACCGAGGAGTCCATCATCCGCATCCCCCCGTACCATTACATTCATGTGCTGGACCAGAACAGCAACGTGTCCCACGTGGAGGTCGGGCCCAAGACCTACATCCGGCAGGACAACGAGAGGTGGGCTGGGTCTCATCCCCCTCGCTCTGGCTGGCCATGGCGTCCTCCCTGTTCCCTGGGGGAGCGGCCCTGGCCAGTGACGGTGACGGGAGGTCTCTCTTGCATTTGCTGCCTCCCGTGGGTCCCCGGGGGTCAGGGCTTCTGGGTCTCTTACTGATTCTCACCCCACAGGGTACTGTTTGCTCCGGTGCCCATGGTGATGGTCCCTCCACGCCACTACTGCACAGTGGCCAACCCCGTGTGCCGGGATGCCCAGGGCACCGTGCTGCTTGACACCACAGGGCAAGTGCGGCTCCGCCACGCCGACCAGGAGATCCGACTAGCCCAGGACCCCTTCCCCCTGTACCCAGGGGAGGTGCTGGAGAAGGTACCCATCTTGCTCCCTGACCTGCTCCACCTGTCCTGAGGGAAACACACTGGGGCCTGGAGAGGCTGGGAGGGCAGGACCACTGGGCGGGGCGGCTCCTCGCCCTACTCAGCCTCCCAGCCACCCCTTCCCCTCCTGGGTACTCTAGAGCTGCCAGCCCAGCTCACCACCTGGTCCCTGGGCTCCGGCCCCAGCTGGCCCGCCCTGCATGGCTGTGCCGAGGTTGACCCTCTGATCACTGTCGGTGCCAGGCAGGGACAGCAGTGAGACAGGACACCACCACAGGCCTGCACTTCTGGCCAGGGCCTGGACCACCTCCTTCCTCGATGGTTCTACCTCGATCTTCTTGCCTTTTTATTTATTTATTTATTTTTTGTACTGGGGATGGAACTTGGGACCTTGTGCTTGCGAGGCCGGCAGCGGAACCACTGAGCTAAATCCCCGGCCCTCTTGCCATTTTGTACCTTTTAACTCTAAGTTCCTTTACTAACCAGTTCCCCTCTCCCTCCTCGTGTTTCTTTTGCAGTACTAGGGATTGGACCCAGAGAGCCTTCACACCTCACTACATCACTGGCCCTTTTTATTTTTTCATTTTTGAACAAAGTCTCCCTAAATTACTAAATTGCCAGGCTGGGCTCAAACTTGGAATCTTCCTGTCTGGGCCTCCCACAGTGGTAGAATTGTAGGCATGCGCCACCACACCAGCCTAATCAGTGCTTCTTGACCTTGAACACATATAGGGAGGCTCTAAGAGCTGTTAGAGCCATTCTCGGCTACTACATGCAGTGGGATGAGGGAGAGTATGTGCATGGGAGGAGAGAATGACAGATTACAGCTTTACAACATTAACCCTTAAGGAATCTGAGTGGAGTATGTAGTGATTCTTTACTATTCTTACAATTTTTCTGCAAGTCTGAAACCGTGAAAATGAAAAGTTTTTCAAAATCTATATTCAGTGCCAAGTGTGGTAGTGCAGGCCTATAATCCCAGCACTCGGGAGGCTGAGGCAGGAGGATCACCATGAGTTCGAGGGCAGCCTGGGCTACATAGGGAGACCCCGTCTCAAAACAAATCTATATTCAGACCCTGGAATCCCTGGGTGGGAAGCAGTACTTGTGCTATCAAGGTTCCCACGGGTTGAGAAACAAAATTCTCTTCTTCATCCTCACCTTGCTCTGACCGCTAATACCCCAGAAGCCCCAGCCCTGGAGTTCGTCCTGTTGTCACAGTGCTGTAGCCGTAGCACGCACTGGGCGTCTGGGCGCACGCGGCCCCGCCCCTTCCTGGCCAGGCGCAGCGCGCTTGCGCGGTTCCCACTGCCACTTTCCGGCCCGCCCTAACCGGCGCCTCCCTCCACCCTCTCCTCACGGCCCTCGGCTTTCCGTCACCCCCGCTCCTACCCCGGCTTCTCTCCCCCATCTTCTTTCCCACTCATCTGGCCCTTACTATTTCAACACTTTCTTTTTCAGTCTAACCACAGAGCTTTGTCCTGGCACCTCACTGCCCTCTCAGCCTCCCCAGCTGTGATAGCGGATAACCTGATAACCTGATAACCAGCCTCAGGCTAACACTTCTCACAAGCACTCTGCGGCTCTTGGCCTGCAGCGAAGCCCTGACTCTCGACCAGATTGCTTCCCACCTGCCTTTGCCGTTCTCACACCTGGAGTTTCCTGTGGAACAGTTGCGGCTGCATGGCGTGGGCGTGGGCAGATCCCACGCCAGCATCCGTGCTGCTCGCGTGTTAGAGTTTATTCCTGTCCAAACTCTGTCCATCAGTTTCTTCCTTTCCGGCCAGTTTTCCTTTTTGTTGTCTGCTTCCAAATAATTCACGTTTTCATGGCTCTTCCTATTTTCTACACCGTTGCTCTTTGTTTTTTGAGACAGCGTCTAGCTATGTACTTCAGGCTGGCCTTGAACTCACTGTGTAGCCCAGGCTGCTTGGAACTCAGTGATCCTCCTGCCTCGGCCTCCTGAGTGCTGGGATCACAGGTGTGCGCCACCGAGCCCAGGTACTCCCTTACTCTTAACCTGGTCACCTACAGAATTGAAGCTATCTGAGCCAGGTATGATGGTCCACACCTGCAGTCCCAGCACTCAGGAGGCAGAGGCAGGAGGATCACCTTGAGTTTGAGGCCAGACTGGGCTACCTAATGAGTTCAAGACCAGCCTGAACTGAACGACATAGTGAGACCCTGTGAGGCCGGAAGTTTATGGTAACTTTTTTTTTTCTTTTCTGGTATGGGGTATCCAACTCAGGACCTTGCGTTTCCCAGGTAGGTGAAGCGCCACTGAGCTAAATCCACCCCCCCCCATTAAAACCCTAGTGCTGAAAACAAAATTATAAATTTTACTCTGCAGATATTTTTTTCCATCTTTCTAGGTGTCCCCCTCTTCTCCTGTCACCTGTCCCTCAGGTTCTGTCCTGGGCCTCATCATGGCTTTGCCTCCTCCGTGTAAACAGAACCTGTCCACTCCGTCCTCAGCTGTGGGTCCCCCAACCCTGCAGGACCCCTTTCCCAGACGCCCTTCCTTTAAGGGCCTGCAAACCTTTCCATGCCCCCACCTCTCTTCTCCCTTACTCTTTTTTTTTAAGTCTCCAGTGTCTTTATTCAAAATATGAAACATAAAATCAAAAATTATAAACATAACAAAAGACAGGATCTCCTCCCTCATTCTGTCTCACTTGGTGATATTCTGGGTATCGATGCTCCTTAGCTGGAACCTGCAGTGGCATGGGGGACAAACGAGGGAGACAGGGCCACAGCCAGTCAGAGAGGAAGCTGTTTCCACGGTGCAGGCTAGGGGGTGGTAGCGAGGACCAGGCTCCCCAGTGGGCTGGCCCGGTGGTGCGGGGAGCTTGGCCGCCCTGGGCTGCCCTTCCCAGAGCACAAGCCTGTGCTCTTGCAGCCTTTCCCATTGCGCCCCGGCTCCAGGGCCTTCCCTGCTCTCTCAGCACCCGCCATGCCACTCGCCCTGACGGGTCCATGGGCTCCTTGGAGAGAAGGCCTGCATCCGCCTTGTCCCTGGGGGCGCTAAGGTGCACATCTCCTGCTCCTCACCCGCTGTGTGGCCTTGATCACGACCCCTCACCTCTGAGCCTTCAAGACCATGTGAAATCGTGTTTTTAGAGACATTCCTACAAACTGTTAAAAAAGTTTGTCTACTTTTCACTATCCCCTCCTCCTGGCGGAGGGAGATGTGAGGACCAGAGCACAGTGGGTATCTTATGATTGTGAGGCGACCCTGAAGACAAACCATGAGCTTGAACTCGTGCAGAGAGAGGTTTATACCTAGCCAGGAGGTAGTCACCACCCACCTTCCCAGGTATTTCCCTACATCTGGAAGCCTCGCCCGTGTCCCTCCCAGTAGATCATGAGCTCAAGGAACCCCTCAGCACCCTGCACAGGAAGGGGTGTTCTTGGCTTGTCCGTGGTGGCACCTCCCACATGGTCAACCCCGTCCCTTAGCTCTTGCAACAACCAAGCCTTCCTTACATGAGGATCTGTAAAGACTGGTGCCAGAGCTGAGACAAGTCCACCCGAAGGAAGTCAGTAAGATTCTGCCTCCACAAATAATTTAAAAGGCTGGGAGCATAGTTCCGTGGTAGACCAGTTATCTAGCATGCTGAGGCCCTGGGTTCAATTCCCAGCTTCAAAGAAAAGGCATTTTTCTGTGTCATGGGCTTTGACCTCTAGGTGCTGGATCAGGTGTGACTCCCCCACTCTGTTCCCTGCTAGGCCATCACCCCGCTGCAGGTGGTTCTGCCCAACACTGCCCTGCACCTGAAGGCACTGCTGGACTTCGTGGATAGGAATGGAGACAAGGTGGTGGCAGGAGACGAATGGCTATTTGAGGGGCCTGGTGAGTCCTCTGCGTCCGTGGCTGGGCTGGGGCACCCTGCCTCCCACTGTCACCCACACCTCCTTCCTCCCCAGGCACCTACATCCCCCGCAAGGAGGTGGAAGTTGTGGAGATCATTCAGGCCACGGTCATCAAGCCCAACCAGGCCCTGCGGCTGCGGGCCCGCAAGGAGTGCTGGGACCGGGACGGCAAGGAGAGGGTGACAGGTGGGGTCTCCAGGGGCATGGACGGAGCACAGGGAGGTGGGGAGAGCCCCTCACAGCCACAGCCACGGGTGCCTCCCAGAGGATGTCACAGCCCCGAGAGCTCCCATGGCTGCTGCCCTGCATCCCACTGATCGCACCGGCATGGCCTCTCCTGCCCGCCCATCTGTGTGTTCAGAGCCATGGCTGAGTCTTCTCTGGTCCTAGTCCAGGGCAAATGTTCAAATACAATGAGCAAATGCAGCATCCACTCCACCAGATGTGGCTCTCAGTCCTTTACCAGTTGTAACTGGGTTAGCTGATGACCTCAAGGTGCGACTGTTCCCATTTTCCATGAAACAAGACTGAGGCACGAGCATCAGGTTACTTCCCTGGGCCGTGTGGCCAGCAGGATGAGGCTGGGACTTGCTCCAGAAAAACAGCAACATTCACAGCTTGCGCGTTCTCTCTCGCTGTCTTTCTTTTTGGCCATACCCTAAAGTACATCCTTACCCTGTGTGATTTTTTTTGAGACAGGGTCTCACTAAGTGGCTAAAAGTTGCCCAGAACTTGGAATGTTTCTGCCTCAGCCTCCCAGAGTGCTGGATTATAGGCCTGTGCCACCATGCCCGGCTTGAACTCTGGTTTTGGGTTCGGTTTTGCAACAGTCTCTATGTAGTCCAGGCTGGCCTTGAGCTCACAGTGATCCTCCTGCCTCAGCCTCTCAGTCTGAGACCCAGCAGTGCACTGTTCTCTCCAGTGGGAGGGGTGGCTGGGGACCTGGTGGCCTGACCTTCCTCTCATCCTGGCCAGGAGAGGAGTGGCTGGTCCGCTCGGTGGGTGCGTATCTCCCAGGGGTGTTCGAGGAGGTTCTGGACTTGGTGGATGCTGTGACCCTTACAGAAAAGGTTTGTGCCCCAAGACCTGGGTTAAGGGCCCGGGCTGGGAAAGCTCCAAGTGGAGAGTGGTGGGAGGGGGCGTGAGAGGAAAGGAGAAGTGATATTCTAGGGTCCCCTGAGGAGAGTCCTGGCTTGGTAGATGCTGCCGCTCGGGGCCGGGCCGTTGTGGGAGGAAGTTGGAGGAGGCTCACTCACGGCCGCTTCTCCTTCTGCAGACGGCCCTGCACCTCCAGGCGCTCCAGAACTTCCAGGACTTGCAGGGAGTGGCCCGGCGTACTGGGGAGGAGTGGCTGGTGACTGTGCGGGACACCGCGGCACATGTGCCGGACGTCCACGAGGAGGTGCTGGGGGTCGTGCCCATCACAACCCTGGGCCCCCGACACTACTGTGTAGTTCTCGACCCAGTGGGGCCAGATGGCAAGAACCAGCTGGGACAGAAACGCGTCATCAAGGTGCGCCCGCCATCGTGCAGGGGTCTTCCTTAGCTCTCCTTTCCCTCCCTCAGCGCCAGACACTCCCGTGCCTTTGCACACATGCATCTGTAGGACAGAGCGCTGTCCGGTTGATTCCCCGGCAGCTGCCACCCACCTGACCCTCTGTCCTGTCCTCGGGACTTTCGGCCTCCTGGCTGCCCACACCTGCAGACTCTGGACCTCACCCGTCTCCACCTGGGCTCCGGAATCTGTCAGACTGTAAAGTCTCAGGGTTACGCCTCCCACTCCCTCCCCTACCCCACCCTTTTTCCCCAATACTGAGGATTGAACCCAGGGCCTTTGCAATGAGCTACTACCCCAGCCCCTTTTTACTTGAGACAGGGTCTCACTAAGCTGCTAAATTTCCCAGGCTAGGTGGAACTTTTGATCCTCCTGACTCAGCCTCCCAGACTGCTGGGACTATAGGCATGTGCCATCACGGCTGGCTCGCTCTAGGTGTATGAACAGAGGTCAGCAGGCTTCTCAGTAAAGGCTGGGTAGTGGAAAGTAATTAAGGCTTTGTGAGCGCACCATTTCTGTTGAAACTATTCAGCTCAGCTGTTGTGTCAGGAATGCAGCATAGACGATAAGTACGCAGATGAGTGTGTAAAATAATTTTATTTGGAAAAATAAGAGCCAGAAAAAGTAAAAAATGACCCAAATGTTCACTAGTTGATGAATGGATAAAAAATGAATGGCGTATCCACACAATGGATATCATTCATCTATAAAAAGAAATGGAGGGGGCTGGGGATTTAGCTCAGTGGTTCTGGCGCCTGCCTCGCAAGAGCAAGGTCCCAAGTTTGATCCCTGGTACCAAAAAAAAAAGAAAAAAAGAAAAGAAATGGAGGGCTAGGGATTTAGCTCAGTGGCACCGCGACTGCCTTGAAAGCACAAGATCCTGAGTTTAATCCCTGGTACCAAAAAAAAAAAGAGTACTTGCAAGCACTACAACTCAGAGTTGAAAACTTGCTAAACAAAAGAACCAAGACAGAAAAGACCACATATTATATGATTATGTTTCTGTGTAAGGTTCGGAATGGGCAAACCCAGAGAGCAGAAGTAGACCCGTGGTTGGTGAGGTAACAGGTAGGTAGGTGGGTTTGGTAGTAACTGCTACTAGGTACAGGTTTTCTTTTCAGGGAGATAAGAATCCTCTACACTTACATAGCTGTGGTAGTTGGACAACTGAATATACTAAATTGTACACTGTACAATTGTATACATTGTACAACTGAATGGGTAGTTTTGTATGTGAATTATACTCATGTCTCCTATCTGTAAAATAACGGCCAGCCTCCCTATCTGTGGGTTCCACGTCTACACATTCAACCGACTGGGGATCCAAGTATTTGGAAAAACAGTTGTCTGTACTGAAAGGTACAGACTTTTCCTCTTGTTGTTCCTCCCTCAATACAATATAACAACTACTGGCACAGCATTTACATTGTATTAGGTATTATCAGTAATCCAGAAATGATTTAAGCTATGTGTGAGAGGCCGGGAATGGTGGTGCACACCTGTGATCCCAACTGCTGCGAAGCTCAGGCAGGAGGACTGCAAGATGAAGGCCAGCCTGGGCAACTTAGTGAGATCCCATTTCACAATAAAATTAAGTTCTGAGCCAGGTGTGGTGACACACGCCTGTAATCGAAGCACTCCAAGAGGCTGAGCCAAGAGAATTAGGTTGACCCCACTGGTAACTTACCAATTTAGCAAGACCCTGTCTCAAAGAATCACTGGGGATGTAGCTCAGCATAAAGGCACTAGGTTCAATCCCCAGTACTTCAAAAAAAAAAGTTCTCATGGTGTAGCTCAGTGGTAAAATGCTTGCTTAGCATGTACCAGGGAGGACACTGGGCTCAGTCCCCAGTCCAGGTGTGTGTGTGTGTGTGTGTGTGTTTTCTTTTTTCTTGCTTCTTGAGACAGGGTCTCACTATGTAGTCCAGGGTAGCCTTGGCCTTGAACTCACTACATAGCCCAGGCTGACCTCAAACTCGTGGCAGTTGTCCTGCCTCAGCCTCCCGAGTGCTAGGATTACAGGCGTGCGCCCACCACGCCTGGTTTACTGTACCATTTTAGGTAAGGGACTTGAGCATCCATGGATTTTGGGTTCCACATGTGGGGCAGTGTCCTGGAACCAATCACCGACAGAGGGAAAATGTCTATATTTTGGAAACATTGGTGGCAGGTAGATTTGGCCCAAAGAGCAGACTTTCCCAACCCTCAAACTATACCACCAACCTCCAAAAAAGAAAAGGAAGAAATTATACCACTCCAGAAAAGAAGCATGGGAAAAATGAGAAGCAAAGGGTTAATTTTTTTAAATGTGTATTTTAAAGTTTTTAATTCCAGTCAGGGTAGAGGCCCATAATCCCAGGACTGGGGAGACTGGGGCAGGAAGGTCCCAAGTTCCAGCCTGGCCAGAGCAACTTCGCACACGTCTCTGTCCAGAGTGAAACATGAAAAGGGCCAAGGATGTAACTCAGTGGCAGAATACACCTGGGTTCCGTCCTCGCCACTGAAGAACAAATAGACATACTCACTGTCCATATTTGTGGGGCACAGTGGTGTGTGTGTGTGTGGTACTAGGGGTGGAATGTAGGAGCTGTGCACTGAGCTACATCCTCAGGTCTTTTTTATTTTTGAGACGGGGTCTTGCTACATTGCCCAGGCTGGGCTGGAAACTGCTTATCCTCCTTCCTCAGCCTCCCAGAATGGGCCCATAGAGGTGTGCCGCACAGTGTGGTAATGAGTGTGGCGGTAAGCTAGGGTAAGGAGCAGACGGTTCACCCTAAGTGGTAGTGGTCTCATTGTGAATAGATTCGTTCTTTGTTTTTGTACTAGGGACTGAACCCAGGGCCTTTCACATGCTAGGGACGTGCTCTACCACTGGACCACATCTCCAGCCCTTTTAAAATTTTATTTTGAGACAGGACCTCCCTAGATTGCCCAGGTTAACCTCTAACTTGCCACGCTGTGGCCTCCATCTCCTAACCAGCTGGGACTGTAGACATGAGCCTCCATACCTGGCTGTAGGTTCATTCAGTGAGTGTCTGGGTCTTTACAGTTTACATAGTCCTTTTCTTTTGGTAACATGGATTGAACTCCGGTCCTTGCACTTGCAAGGTAGGCAGGTGGTGGGACCACTGAGCTAAATCCCCAGCCCCACAGAGTCTTTAAAAGACACGTTTGAGAGTTGAGAGTGGTGGCCCACGCCTGTACTCCCAACACTCTGGGAAGCTGAGGCAGGGGGATCTCAAATTGGGGCCAGCTTGGGCAAGTTGGACAACTTAGCAAGACCCTGCCTCAAAATTAAAAGGACCGGGCATGCAGCTCAGTGTGAAGGGCCTGGGTTCAATCCCCAGTCCCACAAAAGGGGAGAGAGGGGGACGCGTTTGATCAGTGAGCTTCCAGCAGCATTATGTGAGTTTTCGTGTGGAGGGCGTTGGGCCGTGGCCAGGCTTACCTGCCGCGGGGCCTGGGGGGCAGCTGCCCCAACGCTCCCCTTGGCTCCCCGCCAGGGGGAGAAGTCTTTTTTCCTGCAGCCCGGAGAGCGGCTGGAGCGAGGCATCCAGGACGTGTACGTGCTGTCCGAGCAGCAGGGGCTGCTGCTGAAGGCGCTGCAGGCGCTGGAGGACGGCGAGGAGGCCAAGGAGGGCCCTCATCAGGCGGGGGACCGCTGGCTCATCCGGGGCCCCCTGGAGTACGTGCCGTCCGCCAAGGTGGAGGTGGTGGAAGAGCGGCAGGCCATCCCTCTGGACGAGAACGAGGGCATCTACGTGCAGGACGTCAAGACCGGCAAGGTGACGGGGTCGGAGGGGCGGCCTCGGCGCTTGTTGCCGTCTTCAGTGTCCAGTTTCGAATTTCAGACACTTAGAGGATGAGCCAGGTTTCAGGGTGGGGTCGCCCGAGCGGCAGGGCAGGGAGAGCCCTTGCGAGCCAGGCCTGCAAGCCCCGCACGCCAGGAAGAAGATTCTAGAATTAATACTGCTCGGACCACGTGCGTGCGTTCTTGACCGAGGGGCGGTTTCCCGCCTGCCCGTGAGGCGGCCGCTTGCCTGGCTGAGCCATTGCCTGCCCGCAGGTGCGCGCCGTGGTCGGAAGCACCTACATGCTGACACAGGACGAGGTCCTGTGGGAGAAGGAGCTGCCCCCCGGCGTGGAGGAGCTGCTGAGCTCGGCGCAGGACCCCCTGGCCGACAGGGGCCTGAAGGACGCCGCCAAGCCCCACCCGCCCGGCGCCCGGAACAAGACGCGTGTGGTCAGCTACCGCGTGCCGCACAACGCGGCGGTGCAGGTGTACGACTACCGGGCCAAGCACGCCCGGTGAGCGGCGGGGCGGGGCGGGGCGGGGCGGGGGGGGCCGGCGGGGGCGGGGCGGGGGGGCGCCAGTCTGAACTGTCCTCCCTGCAGCGTCATCTTCGGGCCCGAGCTGGTGTCCCTGGGCCCCGAGGAGCAGTTCACTGTGTTGTCCCTCTCGGCGGGGCGGCCCAAACGTCCCCATGCCCGCCGCGCGCTCTGCCTGCTGCTGGGGCCAGACTTCTTCACCGACGTCATCACGATCGAAACGGCGGACCACGCCAGGCTGCAGCTGCAGCTCGCCTACAACTGGTGAAGGCGCG